AACTTAACATAGCCCAAGTGCCTTTTGGTTGACTAATGATAAAGGGAGATAAAGTTTTCCTATTTTCTTATGGCTTTAATGGAAGCAAAATGCACTTAGCTCACAGCAATCTACTTGTTAAAGTTCAAACCCTTTTCTTTGTGATCTTGGATGAGTAATATCTTTTACATATCTGTTAGGTCCTTCATCAGAAAATACTCTAAAGGACACAGACAAAGATTGTTCCCCTGGATGAAACAAAGCAGTGTTCCATAATTAACAGTTAAAAAAAAATTAATTGCCATTTCTTGAAAATTTAGAGACCAGCTATTGGTATCCATGAAACACAGAAGTTTTAGGGCAAATATTTAAGTAAATAGGTCTTATATTTGCCAAATCTCTCTTTGGTATCTCATAGCATCTCAGAGAAATAGAAGCTTGAAACAGCAAGAATCTGTTGGCTCTCCAAAGGCTTGTTGTGATATCAGTTTTATTTCAACAGAAGAACATGCATCAGATCAAAAGTGAAACAAATTAATCTGTGCAGATGTTACAGGCTTAATTTATAAATCCAGTAAATTGCATGAAGTTGTGTCTGATTCAAGTGTTGTTATAGTCATCTCCTGCAAGCTCTCCCAAAAGTCATGTAACAGCTTTATTCCAGGCTTAGGACTGTCACACAGCAACTGAAAGCTTCAGTTTACAGACACAGGCCTTTATTTTAGATTTCAGTGTTGTTTGAATTAAAGGCACGCTCAACATTTCCTGCCTTTGAAAACTTCCATTGTTTTTGGCAAACAGTTTTGGATCACTTATTTACATTATAGAATTTATACCACTGGAGTTGCAAATATTGTCAGAGCTTTTCAGTGTCATGACACGACTTGGCCTATGGTAACTGCATGTGAACAAGGCAACTGCACACACAGGTTGCGTATCTCAGCAGAAGAATACTGAAATACAGTAAAGAGAAATGAGCATTTTGAGTATCATCTCCCATGGCACACTAAGCACTAGTGAAATTCCTGCCTCCTGAACAAGAACCATGTTCTTTGAGAAAATGAAATGTTCCGATAGATTCCCGAATGCTTCCTTTTAAACTGGATGTGACTCTCTGTGGTGCTGCATAGAAGGTGAAGGAAGCTTCTAAATTGCTGCCAGCTCTGTCCAAAGAGGAAACATCAGTCTGTGTCAGCAGCTCATCCTCACAGCATCCTCTGATGCATAAATACACTGCTAAACAGCTCCCTTCCCTGCTCAGGGAGGACGAGATTGCTAAGAGAGACAAGAAAATGCAAACCAGAGAGTGGTTCTAGTTATCAAAAGGAAAGGGAAGAGCCAGTTGTGTGCTGAGTATTTCCAAGCTGGCTATCAGAACATCTTGCCATACCTCAATTTCTTGAGTTTCAATAACTTTACTTTTTGGCAGAGTAAGCATTAACTGTGAAGTCAAGAGATGTCTTAATTTTCTTGAACCATGTGCTAACTTACTAATTAGAGAATCCTTCCATGGTTGAGTGTCGCAATGTTTATTGCAGAGGTCGATATCTCCAGCAGGTCATGGCCAGTTGGAAGATTCCTTGCCATGTGGAGTTTGAGCTATTCATCTACCGTTCTGTTTTTCTGGATCCTCCTCTGAGGATTACCTTGTTCTCTGTTTGCTCAACAAACCTATTTTTCCACTCTGTTACTGTCATCTTGTGGGTGGGCTATCATCTGTAATGCAGTGGGATTTGGTGTGATAAAACTAGTATTTGAGTAAAAACACAACAAGTTTCTTTTGCTCTCATACTGAGAATCCATATAATAACTTCAAGGTCTTGATTTTCAAATACACTTCAGTTTCTCTTCTGTAAAATGGGAATTACTGTACTTTCCCATTTCCTAAGCTGAGGCTGAATTCATCAATATTTACAGAACTTTTTAAGATTCTCAACTGGAGGGAGTCATAGAATTAGAAGTGTATAAACAAACATGAGCAAAAACCTGGAATAACAACACTGTTTTGACTGGAGTTTACAAGTTGCATTTAGCTTTTCTTCCCCAGCATTGTGAAATACCTTCCCAGTGACAGAGATACTCCTTGTGGAGTCTGCCCATTCTGCTATGAAACTTTTAAACTGTAGTGTTTTAAAAAGTATGGGGAACTTTGAAAGCATTTTTAGGGTCAAAATAGCAAAAAACTTGTTCCACCCAGGAAAAGGAGTAGAGGTCAGGAGGCAGGAGTTGTGTAATATGTCACAAAACAAACCTCCAGGAATTACAGGTATTAAGGAAAAAAAATCCACTACCAATCTGCAGCTCTTTTACACTCACAGAATTGCTGATTATAATTGAAATGCACTAAATGAAGAGCAGTCGGTGCACTTTGCATTAGCTCAGTGCTTTTGGTATGGTTTGCAATATATTGGAAGTTGAGCTGTTTTGTTTCAAGATTTCCAGTCACACCTCAGTCTCTAAATCCTGGTGGAGGTTTATTGGCTTGGTGGGAATTCCAAGCTATAGTTAAAGAATATTTTACTGCTGTTTCCCAAGAGGTAGGGCATGCAATTATTTCCGCTTTGAAAGCAGCTCTAAAATTTGGACTTCAGGTTCTGGTTGAATCTTTCTTGAGAAGAAGGAGATACGCTGCAGTACAGCCTTTCTGTACCTCCACAAGAGTCCATTTCAGATCTCCTGCTGAAGCACCACGCTGGCAGATCATTTCTCAAGCAGCATCCTCTGCTGGCATCCGAGCCTTTAGAAATCAAACCTTTTCTTTTTCCGTGCCAAACGAGAAGCATGGAATAATACATGTCGCAAGCTATTGATTTTGATCTTCAGGTATTTACTGATGTTTGTCACAAAAATACTCTATGCCACAACTGTACAAGTGAAGAGGGCTTCCATTCCCAGTTGTCACGAGCTGCTACAACTTTCAGACAATACTGGGAAGTCTTACAGGTATCTGTGGGACACTGGTGACACCCTCACCGCTATGGATACCTCAGCTCACACTGTGAGAACACGTCCCCAGATTTCAGCCCAAGGACCCTGCTACCTTGTGTTGGTTTACTGTTAAAACAGCCCTCGCTATGTTCTAAAGGTCGCATGAAAAAGTCCTGCTGAAAATTAAAGGCCTCGTTTTGAAATCTGTTAAAAGGGAGGGTAGGAAGAAGAGAAGGCTGAAAATGCCCTTAGAACTGCACTTTACCAGAAGTTGAGGCAATCATTAGCTCTCAGCTCCAGGCTTAGTGGAGCTACAAATACACCGGCTTCCCCGCCAGAGAGTTACATCACGACCACAGAAGTTAAATAAAACCTTTTCCATTCTGTAACTTAAGAACAGCTTAATAGAGAAGATTTCGTATTAACAGGGTGTTTTCTTCCCCATCGCAGAAAGGAACATGGAAAAATTGACCTGTGTCCACTTTAGTCTTGACTTGTCTATTCCAAAGTCTTCTAAAGAGCTCATTTCATAGTCACTAAGCTGCGACCCTTCACTCGAGTTCATTCTGGTTCCTTAAATAGACAGGTGTACACGGAGCACACAAACTGTCTCTTCTCTCCTGGTTTCTGAGAAGAACTTATTGAACAACTGCACTCAGTTGACAAGGGCATAAGATGTGCTTTCAGTAGAACTGGTTTAAAGAAAACAAATCACAAAATGCCAACTTCTTGTTGGGGCATTTCCTTAAGAAATGCACAAACCTTTGAACCAGCTTTAATCTTAAAGCCCACTCTAGAATAGGCTCTGATCTTGTGGGCTACATGGTGTGATCCCAGGGAAGAGAATCACGTGGAGGGGGAAGGACGTATAACAGTGATAGAAAAGCTCTGCAGTGACTTGTCATGCTCTTGCACATTTTTCTATGTGTTGATCACTGCCACCTTGGTCTGTCTATTAATTTGACTGTGAGATGTGCCTTTACGTGTGTCAGATTGAGTGTCAATTCTGTCTTCTGTCTCCTTCTCTGCCTTATGTCCAAAACAGCCATGTGCACCACAGCGTCTCACCGTCAGACACTTAAGCAGAGGGGATTAAGAGCTGAGTCACAAAATGCAACTGGAGAATGATGAAAAAGGTGGTGTGGGGCAGGGGAAAATCAACTTCTCAAAGAAGCATATCCTGGAAATTCTCTGGTTTACAGGCAGCTTTCTGCCTTGCAGCAAGATGCTCAGCCTGCCTGACTCCTCTTGCAAAGAGAGGGCAGAGCTGAGTGCAGGTGTCCTGAGCTGCTGTACTTGTGCTTCTGCTCCATCTGCCTCCACATGGAAACCTTTAGCTCTCCCTGAGTGTTATTCTGCAGATTCTGTATAGGAGACTCATGGCAGCAAATGATTTTTTGTGTCAGAATTAATGGCTGCCAACACTAATAGTGAAGGGAATTTTGCCTTCCCAGGTGATTCACTCTTATGCCCTTTCCATAAATAAGTGGTTAGTCAGCCAGATAAGAAAAAAGCAGTCCAACCACCAAAACTTGCTCTTCCTCCGTCCCTTCATTTTTTATTCCATCATTTCTAAGGGGAAATTCTGAAGGAAGACACACAGTCAGTCACTTGGCACTGCAGTACAAACACCACAGCCCTCCTCACTTTGTACAGGTGCACCCCAGACAGTTTGCACAGCCAAAAAGAAAAAATAAAAATAAAAAAAAAATAAAAAAGAGAGAAAAAGAAAGGGAGAAAGGGGAAAGAAAAGTTTATGAGCCCGTGCGTACGAGCAGGAGGCAGCTTTGCAAGCTGCACGGGGTCCGTACCTGGAGCGCTGGCAGCCGCCTGCCTACCGCCGTGCCGGGACCGCGGCCGCGGCCGCCCCCGGCAGCCCTGCGGCCGGTACTTGCCCGGCGCTGGCCCTGTGCCCTCCTGCCTCGCTTGAACCCTTTGTGAACCGCTTGCCCCGCAAACTCCCCGGGCCGGGCCACGCCAGCCGGCCCCACCTCACCCCACCCAGAGCTCCCATTGGCCCCGATGAAAGTCCAGCGAGCCTCCCTGCTGCTATATATATACATATAGGCGAATAGGCGGCCGTCGGTGCCGCTATGGGAGGCTTCAGCATCCTCCTCCGCTCCTCCGCCCTCACCTGCGGCCGCGCCGCTCTCAGCCCCGCCGGGCGCGGATGCTCGGTGCCGCGGGCGGCGTCTGCGCTGTGCGCACTGCGGGGCCGTGGACATCCCCTGGCCGCGCTGCCCGGGCCCCCTAGCTGGCCGCTGATGGGCAGCCTGCCCGACGTGCTGTGGAAGGGGGGGCTCAAGAGGCAGCACGAGACGCTGGTGAGCGCGGAGGGATGGGGATGCTGCGGGGAGGGGATGAGGGTCGAGGCGGGTGCGCCCCGCACTCATAGTGGGGGATTCCTTTCTGCGCCCCCCAGGCTGAGTATCACAGGAGGTTTGGGAAGATCTTCCGCATGAAGCTGGGGGCTTTCGACTCGGTTCACATCGGAGCCCCCTGCCTGCTGGAATCTCTGTACCGCCGGGAGAGCGCCTGTCCGCAGCGCCTGGAGATCAAACCCTGGAAAGCCTATCGGGACTATCGCGACGAGGGCTACGGGCTGCTGATCCTGTGAGTGACAGGGGAGGTGCGGGCGCGCTTACCGCTAAGCGGGGCTCAACGCTAAGCGGGGCTCTCCGCGGTGATGCTGCGGGCAGCTGCGCTCTGTAACAGCCGGAGGACCGGGATTCGCTGCCCGGAGCCGCCGCACGGAGCTGCGTCCTTGCACGTGTCGTATGTGTGTGCCTTAATCCTTTATTCTCGCTGCTTTTACTTACATCTAGGGAAGGAAAGGACTGGCAGAGGGTGAGGAGCGCCTTTCAGAAGAAACTGATGAAACCCAAGGAGGTGGTGAAACTGGACAACACAATCAATGAGGTACTGTTCCTTCTGTCCCCCCGTGCCCCTGGAAACCTGGGGGGAAAAAAAGCAGATCGAGGGGTTCGGTTTGCTGGGTAGCTGCTGGTTTGCTCTGTGGTGGTAATGCTGTGAGTTCATACTCAGAAATCGCTCTGGGAATAATGAATTGCAAACAAATTATCAGGGTCAGATCAAATGTGAGTCCACACAGCTCTCAGGGGTTAGGAGTGGTGCTGGGAGTCAGCATTGGAAAGCTTTACTGATAGAAGACTGGGACGTTGTGAAGCAGCTGAGTGGCATTTCAGAAACCTTCATTTAAGATTTCAGTCTACCACATTAAGAATCCAAATCTCTTTGTGTCTCTGGAGGCTATAGCTGTTAATATCCTCAACTGCACAGAACACCACCAAAATTCCACAATGACTCGGGCTCCTGCAGAGAGTTTTTGCTTACTTTTCTCTTTCTTTTTCTCTTCTTTTTTTTTTTTTCTGCTTTTCCCTCTTCATTCTTAGTTTCCTTCTGCCAGGGAACACCTCTCCAACCTCCACGCTTCTCACTGAGTTTGAGGAGCATCTGTGATAAACAGCTTAAGCCTCTTTGTCATGAAACTGTTGTCCCAGGGTCAGACTGAAGCATTTCATCCCTGTGGAGGAAAGAAAAGATCAGTTCACAGAATTACAAACAGTAATAACTTCAGAGTCCTGTAAATCCAAATGTGTTAACATGGGAAATAATACTGTTAAAGGAACAGGAAACACAAGAAATTCTGTCTTATGCAAGATTGCTATTTGAAAGACAGATGTAATGTTAAATCTCAAAGGATTTTTATCAGTTGATATTGTCTTTATTCCCTTTTCTTCTTTCTTCTCTTCACCATATAGGTGCTGGATGACTTCATGTATAGAATAGATGCTATTTGTAACCCCAGAGGACAAATGGAAGATGTATATTCAGAATTCAACAAATGGTCATTTGAAAGTAAGTGGTTGGGTGGTTTATTTTTGCCTGAAAACAATATGCATTTTGTACCTGCTGAGACATTTCAATTGAAGTGTGACCCGTGATGACTGGATGGTAATTATTTCCAAACTATCAACTGTAATATCATGAAAAATACACTGCAGAAAAGCCAGGGGACCATCATTATGTGCCAGATCCATCAGCTGTTACACAAACTCTTCAGTTCTGGACAGATACCTGTGTGGCTGAGTGAGCTCTGCAGACCTGTCGGTTCACAGCTGGCTCATCTCAGCAACCTGTCTGCTGAGCTCCTGAAAATGTGGGGTTTGGTTTTGTTTTTCCACTCTCAGTGATGATGGCTGCTTTTGGAAAGGGAGGAACAGGAAGTGACAGCTCTGAAAAGAAGTTATATATAAAAATCTAGTGGAAAGAGGTGGAAAGCAGTGGGCTGTGGGATGCTGCCAGCGTTAGCAAGTGGTTTCTGGCAGTAGAAGAAGCTAGAACATGCTGGACTAGGTGGCCTCTTCAGGCCCTCTTTTCCTGCAACTCAATCCTCTTCAGTAGGGCTGCCTACTATTTGGCTGAATATGCCAACCCTGTCTTCTTGCAATGAAAGTGCTCCTACAAGGGCTGGGGCAAATGCACAGAAGGTGTTTTGAAGTGCTGATCTCACAGGTGTGTATCACAGAGCAGAGAGCATTTTGCAGAAGGATAACAAGAGCCACTGCCTGACGGCAAGTGGTGGACACTGTGCCCCGTTTCATTTATACCAGCTCATGTTAATGTTGCTCAACAACAGGTATCTGCCTGGTGCTGTATGGAAAGAGGTTTGGTCTCCTACAGCAGGATGTAGAAGAAGAAAGCTTGAATTTCATCAAGGCTGTTAAAACGGTATGGAAGAGTCTTTACCTGGGACTGTACTGATTTTCTGCCCCTGCTACTGGTGTGAGGATACTGATTTAAATGGGTCAACCATTTTTTTTCTGGGAAAAAAAAATCCCAGAAATTTCTGGGTAATCCCCAAAATACAGTTGTCAGGTTGGCCAGTTAATTTTCCTCTCCCTCAGAGATGCTTGTTGTGCAATGCTGCTGTTTGTAGAGTGGAGCTGTGTGGGATTATGCAAACTGGCTGGGTTTGGAGGTTAGTCATTCTTGCAAGCACACCTGCTGTGCATCTTGCTGCAACTTGGACTCTGGTGATATTTATCTCCCTCATTTTAGCCATCCAAAAGACCTGGTCTAGCCCAGCTCTTGGTTCCCTCTTTTCTCAAGGGACAGAGGCACTACCAAAGTGTGACTTTCCCCTTTCTGAAAGAGGTGCCTAGAACAGATAGGATCAACCACCCTCAGCAGAAATCTCTTACTGTCCGCTAGCTGTGCTTAAATTTTAGCTGGATATGCTCTAAGCAGGATGAATCCTATCCTTTCTGTCCAGGATGGAAAATCTGCCAGAATCCCAACTTCCTTGTGAAAATTACCCTTGCAGTCCTGTTACTTTACTGTCTATTTTTGCTCACAGACTACAAATAGATTTTTAAAAGATTTCAAAACCTTACTCCACCGCAGATGATGGCTACTTTCGGAATGATGATGGTGACACCCGTGGAACTTCACAAGGGTCTGAACACAAAAGTCTGGCAAGCTCACACTAAAGCATGGGATGATATATTCAAAACAGGTTTGTTTGTGAAACACAACTTCTTTCCTTTCTGTTCTGTTTCCCTCTTGCTGAAATGCTTTTTCTTCATACCTGTTACTGCCCTACGCTGCTGTTAATTGCTCAGATTAAGACACTTTTACTGCAGCTAACCACAAACCCATTCTAAGCGAAGAGCACAGTTTTCTCATGACTGACACTTAGTGGTGTGGCAATATCCAGTCCCCAGGGAACCCCCAGAAACTTGGAAGCCAGTAAAATTTTAAGTCCAGTTTAATCTGTTGTAAAGTAAATAGCCACAGAGTGAGTGATGTATTTAGGGGCAAGATATACAAAGCCTGTGAGGGAACTTCCCTCGTAGGGTGCCCTTGAGAAACACAAAGTTTTACATGCAACAAAAATCTGTTTGCTTAAAAGGAAATGTACACAGAAATTTGGCATTTATCGTTTCCTTCCCATGGTAAATCAAAAGCTTATATTTCCCCTTGGGAAGTCTGAGTGCTAGGAGTTCTTTGATTCATTAACACCTTGATCTGCTTTGAAAATCCAAGACGATAAATTTTACGTGCTTGTATTTCTTTTGCTAAGTATGTCACTGCACACATCAGTGATTTCCTCTCCTGACTTTAGAATGGGGAATTCCTAATAGCTTACAGGAGGTTTTTCTGTACAAAAGTGACTTTTGTCTAAAAAGTGAGAACAACAATATTTACTCAGCATAGTGTTCCACTCCTGATAAAGGAGCACAGATCGGTGTCCTCTATCAAAATCATGCATGTGAGCCCTGTTTTTGATTTTATATTTATAGTAGTGGTGCTTTTTTTGTTAATTACCTCCTGCTACTGCCTCTTCAGCCAAGCACTCCATTGACACTCGGCTGGAAAAGCACTCTGCAAACCCTCAGGAGGATTTCCTGTGTGATATCTACTCTGGAGGGCAGCTTTCCAAGAAGGAGCTGTATGCCACCATTGCAGAGCTCCAGATTGCCGGAGTTGAAACGGTAAACCTGGTTCCAAGATCTTAAAATCAGCATCCTTCCAACTCCCTGCTTTCTTCCACAATCTAACCATCACAAAAACTGAATGTGAGCTAAACCTGTGGTTGCTTCCATGGCCTGAACTCCTGGAGAGCAACTGGGATGACTCCTAATCCCTTCCCTTACAAGCTGCCATAAGGCAGTGGCCAACAATAAATGTGGCTTTGAACTTTTGGTGTCTTCTCATTTCTGTCCCTGTAAGTGGAAGCCTTACATTTCTGCCTGTTTTATTTCAGACAGCCAATAGTTTGCTGTGGGCTTTGTACAACCTTTCACGCAATCCACGCGTTCAGCAGAAACTTCTTCAGGAAATACAAAGTGTTTTGGCTGCCAATGAGAGCCCAACTGCTGAGAGCATTAAGAAAATGCCCTACCTAAAAGCATGCCTGAAGGAATCTATGAGGTAAAATTCTCCAGTAATTCCTGCAAAGCACGATGACCACAAAGTTCTATCAGCTGATGTGTACTGATTTTGTGCCCTTTATTGTTTAGGGTAAACTATTACACATTACAGGAAGAAAAAAGGCTGGAAATCTGACACGTTTTTCTTTTACTGCAGATTAACACCATCTGTGCCATTTACCACTCGCACTATCGACACAGAGATGGTTCTAGGAGACTATGTACTACCTGAAGGGGTAAGTCAATTAATGTACTTTATTACAACGTTTGATGACTTGTCCTGTAACCGCTGACATTTCAGTTTGAAAACAACTCTGCCAAAAGATGGGTCCCAGCACCAGGGGAAGAATTTCCACAAACTGAAAACCATTCCTCCCTGCATAGCATTGGATTTAGACAAAAATATTTCAGTGCTCTATTTCAAGAATTTCCTTCAGATTTTCAACTGTTTTCTGAAGAAACTGTGACCTTTTTCTCTGAATTTATCCTCAGAGAACTGCATGGCTTCAGAGGAAACTGCCACACCTTCACTTTTGCTATATGTTTTTTCCATAAACAAACTGATTCACTTGCTAGCTCTGAGGCGATTCCTAACAGAGATTGCCTCTGTTGCTTTGTTTACAGACAGTGCTAATGATAAATAGCCATGCCTTGGGCTGCAATGAAGAATACTTCAATGGCTGGGCTCAGTTTAAGCCAGAGCGCTGGCTGCAGAAGCACTCAATAAATCCCTTTTCCCATGTCCCATTTGGCATCGGGAAGCGGATGTGCGTCGGCCGTCGCTTAGCAGAGCTGCAGCTCCACTTGGCCCTGTGCTGGGTAAGCGCTCCCTCACTGCTCCTTTACACACTCCACCTCGTCAGCCCAACGAACGAAAGCCTTCTAACTGAGATATTTGTGCTTCAGATCATTCGCAAGTACCAAATTGCAGCAACCGACGACAATCCGGTAGAAACTCTGCATTCAGGAATCCTGATCCCCAGCCGGGAGCTGCCCATCGCGTTCCACAGGCGCTAAGGTATGAGCACGAGTGTCTCCTGGGTGCCTGACTGCCTTCCACAGCCCCTTTAAAATTCACCTAGATCCGAATGTAAGAGAACAGATGATCATCTGTGCTCCCACAGCGTGAGATTTATTAAATGCTGTCACGTTACGTTCCTTAAAGCACAAACCATTCTGTGTGCCGCAAAAGGAGATCACAACGGAGATTTTTTTTCTTCTTAATACAGCCTGCAACCTGACAAGTGACAGTCCTACTGCTGCCCTTCCCGAAGAAATTCACAGCCCAGGAAAGCCAAAACCTGTGGTAACCCGTGGAGAAACTGCAACACACGTCACTCAAACAATTGCTAAGACAGAAACAGCACCAACAAAAGCTCCCCTGATTGGAATTCTCTTGTTGGAAAATGTGGATAGTTAGTTCAGCTGTACTCAGCAACGTTAAAAGGAAAGAAAAATGCTATGCACATTCACATAGCTATGGGAATGCACTGGTTTAGTGTAGCAGAAGGGCCGTGCATGACAGAGCTTCATCATGAGCTGTGGAGTGTCATACAGCTGTTGTTTGAGCATAGGGAAACTATGATGGATGCAAGCCCTGCCAGGGGAGCAGCAGTCACTGCTACACTGGTCCTGTTAGCTCAGGAATTTGCTCTGCTTAGCAAACTTAACACCAGGGCTTAAAAATTGGATTACTGAAATAAGTACTTAAAGTTATTCATGCCCGTAATAGAAGGGGAATAAGGATGAAGCTATATAGTGGGTTTATTCCTTGTGCCTGCACAGTGCTTCAGTTTGAACATTTGCAGTACTGTGCCTGCAACGCAATCTGCTTACACCACAGGGTTTCATGCGTTCAACTCCCATCACTCCCTCACAGCAAAATATTAGCTGCCTTTTTTATATGAGAGGCCTTATTCAGTAATGGAATTGCTGGAATCCTATGGGTTCTGCCATTATTAGATGATGATTATCCTAACAGGATAGTTCCTTCCGCAGATTAGTGATACAAAATGCATGTCTAAAGCATCACAAGAAATGAGGAACCTAACCATTTCCAAGGGCTCTATTTTTGTGGAGATTACAATACCTGTATCTATGGGTTAAAGACATCACTGCCCTGCATGTGATGCCGTATATCAGCTATTGTGGTCACAAGTGTGCTTTTCCCAAGATACAGTTTCAAGTGAAGGTTTTAATGCATACACCTATGAGTGATCATTTTGATTTTGTTATATTCTGACATAATGCAGTTCTTAGCGTTTGTTGTCTCCTATGGCATTTTGTTTGTTTTCCTCTGGTGTTAGTTCAAACATTTGAACGTGTCTATATGCCAATTTATTCAGCAACCTGTGCATTGTTTGAATCTTTACAGCCAGTTTTGTAATACTCAGCTTTGTAATAAAGATTTTTGTTTTCTACAAATTGTCATCTGCAGTATTATGCTACAGTCTTCGTGTTGTTACAGAAATCTTTCTTACCTGTCATGGTAATTTTGTGTGGGGAAAATATCCCTGTGATCCTCCCATACCTGCATCTCTCACCTCTCATTGGGATTGAACTTACAAAATCAAGTTAATTTAATATAAACACCACCCCCCCCCCCCCAGATTTCTGCCTTATGATACCTCCTAGTGTTTGATTTGTGTTCTGTAATCACAACACAAGAAACAACTTGGGGAGAAGCTGATAGAAAACCTCAATCCTGATCACCAGTTTTACAATTTGTATTGCTGGTTCAGTTCACTGTCCTATACCAACAGTTGCTGCCAATGGCTCCAGCACGGACTCAGCTCTGTCTGTTAGCAGTATATGAAAGCTAACGGTCAGTGATTAAGAGGGTATTAATAGTGATAGCCCACAGCCTCCCAAGACTCAGAGATTTTTGCCTGAGGGAACCAGGATGGCTCAGTCTGGAGGGGGCTCAGGGGGAGACCTTATTGCCCTCTACGGCTGCCTGAAAGGAGGTGGTGGTGAGGTGAGGGTCAGCCTCTGCTCCTAGGTAACAGCGATGGGATGAGAGGTGTTGGCCTCAAGTTGCATCGGGGGGGGGGGGGGGGGGGGCGGGGGGGGACGAGAGGGGGGGATGGGGTTGGATACTAGGAGAAATTTCTCCTTGGAGGGAGTTGTTAAGCAGTAGCATAGGCTGCCCAGGGAGGTGGTGGGGTCACTGTCCCTGGGGATGCTCCAGAACCATGGAGATGTGGTATTGAGGGATGTGGCCAGTGGGCAGTCATAGCATTGTGGGGTGGGGTTGGGCTTGGGGATCTTAGTGTTCTTTTCCAGCCATAATGATCCTCTGATTCTATGAAGGACAGCGTTTGGGGCTTTTGCATCCATAGCGCAGTCTGAACACGTTTCTCTGCAGCATACAGAGCACTGAGGTCTCCAGCAATGGGGCTGTTACATTTCCCTTCTACTGTGACAAGAGAAAATCAATCTAAAGTTTTCAGAAAGGATGAAAACAGCTTGAACCTTTGCAGGATGGAAAGAAATGATGAACGAGAAAAAGAGCCACCCAGCCAGCACTGACAGACAGCCCAGTGGTTACACACAGAGCAGATCTGACAGCTATCAAAACCATGCTGCCTTTGCCAAGATGAGGTTGCCTCTGGCTGAACGAATGATGGTGTAACAAAGATTGCATATGACTATGTGAGACTGTCACTTTTTGGAAAATCATATTGCAATGGGGCCCTTCTGGAGACTGCAGCCTGGGTGGGGGCTGACAGAGCTCCATTGCCCACCTGGCACCACTCAGGGCTGGAGCTCCCACCCAGGTGCCAACCCATGTGGGAACCATGTTATGATGTTAATAATATATACTGCGTTTGTTCTTTGAGTGTCAGAAACCGATGGTACTCCATCCGAGGCAATGGAGTTGTGCCAATATAAAGCAAACATTAACATAAGGTCAGTGTTCAATTCAAAACAAATTCAGGATTCTTGTTCAGTTCCAGGCTTACCACTTTACTTTTCAACGCTTTAACTTTTAAGGACGACCAAAGAGAAGAGGTGTTATCTACTTGAACTTACCTTGACAGCCCAGTAATCAGACATTTCAAAATCCTTTATTGCTTCTGGATTGTAAATCACAGGTTCATGCTTACTTGGCTGCTTATTAATTTCACTCTTTAAATGTAGTGGACCCAGAGATTTACATAAGTATTGCTGTACGTCAGGCACTGATTGACTCAATGTGAGCTGTGGTACAGATATGTGCTGTCTTCTGGATTTCTAAAGGTACAATAACCACTGATCTGGAAAAGCTTGTTCCGGAATCTTGGTCCATTTTCAGGTTCCTGAAGTTTTCAAAGAACTTCATTAATCTGCTACCTCAAAGTAAATGGCCAAAACAATTTACCTAGGAAAACTGGTAATTATCAAACTACACAGATAATGAATGACCAACCAGACTTTCACATTAAGAAACCCTCACAGCTTTCTGATCCTCATGTTTCAGAAGTCTGAGAAGCAGCACGTTGCGTCTGGGATTAGCAAAGATCTACGGAACATTTTACTAATTGTCAGTGGGATGAATTCAGTTCTTTGTTTCCTTGAAATGATTGGCTCTTTCAGAGCTACTTACTGAAAGGACAGTGACAATGCCACTTCCCTATTAACGTTTGTTATGGTTACTCCTTAGAGAAAGATAATTGGATCATAAAATGAAATGAATTAGTTGGCCTCCCCATTAGCTTTCTCAACAAGGAAGTGAACTAAGTTTACACATCCAGAAGGAAGTCCGTTCTGTTCAGGCTTTAGGCGTGTTGGTGGAATGATATGAAGTTGGAGCCAAGCACTCTGTGCTTTAGGGAGTGCAAACGCCAGTTTTCAAGACTGACAACCTGGCATTTCTCATATGTGTTCTGTTCTTTATAAGCTGGCTATTGCATAGCATTTCTCCCAGTCAGGCTCCACGTACAACTTTTCAGTGCTGTGATTAAATCACAGATAATGTGTTCCAGTTTGATGTTTTCCATACTGAGAGGGATGTTTGTTCTCCACAACTGCAGGGAGAATTCATGTCCGTGTCAAAGCTGATTTTAGCCGATGTGACAAAGTCACCCAAGCTCTGAGAAATTAATTCTGAGAAAAGTTAATAGCTGAAGTTCATTTCAGAACAAGTTTTAGGACAACTCAGCACATCATTAATTTTAAATATGTGAAATATCACACTGACCCCAGAGGGACTGCATATATTTGGTGGCTATTTAATGCCTTGAATTGTTCTAAAAGAACGAAGTTTAACAATTTCCAGCATGTCTCTATGGCACAACACCCAACATTCACAGAAGGGGTGTTGCTCTAGAGGAAAATGCTGCCTTTTTACTTCAGTGAACTTAAACAAAAGGGCCTATTGAGGTTGAAGCTCCAGGCAGCCTGGTTCATCTCTGCTGGTTGTGCATGTTGTGATAACTTGTGGAATGATATACCACAGCGTGGGTGGTATTCAGGTTTTTTTGTATGCCCTTCCATGCGTGTCTTGGGAAAAAGTGTGAATGTTACCTTATGAAACGTTATGCTTACCAACAATGACAGATGAGATGCAGACACACACATGCCCTGGCCCTCCTGTGCTCTGTGCTCAGTGCTGTCCATTCTCCACCGCTGCAGCTCAGGTGCAGTCCTTTGGCTTTAGCTCCCTTCTGCACAATGAGGGCTAACACAGGAATACATCTGTTGACGCTGAGATGTGTAAACTGACATGGAACCGATATCAGCCACCCTTTGTGTAAGTGGTGCAGATGGAGACGGCACCTGGGACCAGGTTGTGAGTTATGGCATACACACTTCCAGACAGCCCAACACTCTACATGTACATTACTGTTCCCTTCTTCCTTATTTCTGTATTTGGGAGAGCACTACTACCTCATCCAACAGCTCTCCTCACCCTATATTCTACATTTCAATACTCTTTCATGCTCATGAAGTATGGCTACAACAACTTTCATCTCTTGTTCAGAGTGCTTTGATTTCTCTCAGCTTTATGAGCAACAGTCTACAGCTTTGGAACAGCATAAGCAATAAAACTTCATAAACGTTATTTGGATCCAAAAGGAGATTTAGAAGTGCTCACGTTATGGGGATTACTTTGGGCTGAGCACTTATGGAGCAATCCTCCTCCTGACAAGGAACCCAGCAGTGAGACTTCTTTATGAGACAAAATATTTTTCTCCAAGGGACAATGTCAAAACAAGTGTGGAATGGAATGCATTTTATAATCACAGTAAATCATTCTTTGCTTTCCTGGGCATGTTCCTCCCGACAAGTTCCAACCGTTTGCCTTTAATTGTGAAGTGTGCTGAATGAACTCCAGGCACCTCG